TAAACAAAATAAAATCTTGTTGCCACATACTACGGTACAGAAGAATGTCAGGAAGCCTGGTCTGGCTGGGAGAAATGCTAACAAACTCAGCTGCATTCAAGCAGCACTAGGGGAGAGGGCACTAGGGTGCCTGTGGGAACTTCAACGGAAAGGTTACATCTGTAAGGAAAAGGATGGCTTCTGGTCTCTGCTAGAAGAGAGGAGGTTTCACCCTCTCCCCTCCAGCCATTTGGAGATGCCTAGTATAACTTCAGGTGCAGCAACTGCTTAGTCCCATTGATGAATCCCCTCAATCCACTTGTAGGACTTGCCTTTTGTTAGCTAAATGCTCTCCCCACCCAATTTTCTACCAGTTTTCCATGTCAGTAACTAACAAGCCCCACACTGTGCACAATGAGAGTATACAGTAAAGACAGGATCTCAGATTTGACTAGATAGGGTGAAGAGTACATCTGGACAACCACCAGTGTAGCTCCTCTTTATTTCCCTTTATTAATACCACAATGACTCAAATGAGAAGTGTTTAAATGGCTGCAGAACAAGCACTGCACTGCCACACAATGCAAAGGCATTGGAGGAGAGGGTTCATCTGAGACCCTATTTTGCACAGAGAATGGGGGTTAAGCATCTGGAAATATGTGGATGGTTTGTTGTGCTGCAGCATCTGGCATAGGTTGGATGAAAACCTGGTGTGCAAAGACCACAAGCTGCCAAAGTACATGCCTGACTACCTGGAAAGCAGTTGATGGATGGAAAACGGAAGAACCATGCTGGACTATTCACATATAAGGTATTTTCCTTTGTCACCTAAGGTTTCCTACAAGAATGTGAATATAAAAAATATTCAGTGTAGTCCTGTCTGTGACGGTCTGAGGCATTTTGCAAATCTATCATCTACCTGACAATGGAAAAGCATGAAGGAGAGACTTTGAGCCGCTCAGCTCCAGAAATCACTCCACATGGCAGCAACCTCCAGTGAAACAGCCTCACAGCTGCTCTAAAGAATTCCAGCTGGTAACACATCCTCATGAGGAGCCATCTGCTAGCAAGAGTGCATCAATACTGCACTGATACGCCCACAGTCTCCACCTCACAGGCTATGAGGCTAGAAACGACTAGGTGCAAACAGCACAGCAGGCTTTTGCCATCCAAAAAGCTTACGTAGTCCCTGGCTTGAAAGATCTATATTCCCTTCAAGTTTGTAAGGGCTGGGGGAATCAATTTTCCAAAACTATGTCTTCCCCGGGTACATTTGTTGACAGTAAATCAGTTTGTGCTCATGAGCCCTTTTGTGCACCCTTTGCATCCCACCTATGCTCTCAGATGGGTCATGAGTGAGATAATGTGTGATGTTGGCATAGCTACCAAGGACTAAACAATGCTCCTCACTGCCCATCTCTGCTCACCTATGTTTGCCAACAAGCCACAAAGAAATGGAAGAGCCACAGAGACGAGTGGCCACAGTGGACTCTGAGGTCCCAGAAACAGCCATTGTAAAAGGCTGGGAAGGAAAATCCCCTCCCACCCTATGTTTGGGGAGGCATGGACAGAAGTTAAACACACCACGTAAGAGGCAGCTGGTTGGGCATCCTTGGCTGTGTCACTTCATACTAAAGATCTTCAAAAGGCAGAAGAGATCCCCACTCTGGATGAACTCTTAAAATTTCTGTGTAAATATCCCGAAGAAAACATCAAACATAACTTTTTCAAAAGGGCTTAAATAAAAGCATGCTACTCCTGGTGCTGGTACCTCTTGTAAAATGGGAGCTAGTGTCCTACTGGCATCAGTGGCAGGCACAGAAACTCTTGTGGCTCTGAACAACATATCCCACATACAGAAGCTCCCATATTTTCCTGGCTATGTGCCTCAAAAGCAGAACTAGAGCACGAATCTTGCTGTTTCAGTGGGCAAAACCCACTGAATCGGCTCAGTACCAACCTGCCACACTGGGAGGATGCTATTGGCACAGGGAGAAGGACCCACATATGTGGTTACCCTACTTCCCTCTTGAAAGTGCTGGGCTAAGTCAGAAAAGCTAACAAGGGTAAAAATTAAACCAGCCCCATACTCATCAAATCTCTTGCTGGGTAACCCCTGGGAAACTAGTGCCCCACCACAGGAATGTCAGAATCTCCCATGCTGGCACAATAATCCAGGGACTGTTCTTGAAGGTTAGGGAAGTTTATTTTTACAACTCTGCACAGTGCCTACAAATCTATCAGCCACACAGCATCTGGTTCAGGCACTGCCCTTTGAATGGCTTTTCTGTTGGTGCAGTAATTAAAGGTATCCCAGGTGACACCTGATCCCTTATCAAGTTCATTAATTTAAGTGGAGTTATTTGGCTCTCTATTTTCTATACTTCATAATGTATTTCTAACCTTTAAAGTGACATAGGCAAGGACCAGATTGCAGGGGCGCTTATTAACAGCCTATTAAAATATTTTATGGCCTTTATTTTTACGTTGCCATAGGGAATCAAGTATTTTGCTGTTGTTAAACAGGCTCAGGATTTATGTTGCGAGAGCTTCACCACAGCCTAACACAGAGTACTGCTAGGAAATGAACTGGGAGAACAAACTCTCTTTCAGCTCTCCATGTGCTGTAAAGCTGTCAATATGCAGATGGCAGCAAGGGGCCCTCCAATGCAGGCCCTTGGTTTGCTTTGCTTTTTTAAATATAAACCGATACAACAAGATGCAAAGCTCTGGGACCTGGGGGTCTTTTTACCAACCCTATAGACCCACAGAGGGAAGCTCAAAAAGGATCTTTGTGGTCTCCTGTGAAATAACGTGATCTGTGGCTTTTTCTCCCAGAGCTGCTGTAACACATCGACATTTTGCAACTGAGTTAGAACCAATGACTTTGGAAGAAGACAACAATCTTCCCTGCAACAAGACTACGATTTCATCTAGAAGAAAACTGTGATTTTACTGAAAAGTTTTCTAGAGACTGCAAACCCCTTGCTTACCTAAGAAACCTCGATCAAAGGTGAATTCCCTTCTCTGTTACAAATCTGCACCTCCTCCTAAGTCAAGTACATTCACAACACATCTTGACTTTAGAGACCTAAAATTGTCCTGCTTAGGTATTCAGAAATTACAGTCAAGTCCATTCTGGAATTCTTGCTTTGATAAACTTCCTAGGTTGAGGCTGTTTACCCGAGTTTATATTATGTTTCTCTTTTTTTCTTAAGCATAAAAAGTAATTTGTAATGAAGCAAAACATTTGGAAGTGTATCAGCAACATGCTTAAAAGTATTTTAATTGCTTGTGTTTTCAAAACGTTTTAATGAAGTCAAATCAGGAATAGACACTCATCCACCAAAGAACCTATAAAATATTTAACAATAACATTATAATTGATGCAACTGGTTGTATAAATTCTTGGCATTTTAAACAAAGATACTAGAGATTAGCACAAGAAGATTATTCAGTAGGCAATTATTTGTTCTGCTTTAATTATAAGGGCTTTGGGGTTTTTTTCTCTCCATTTTTTAATTTAAATGTCACACTGCAAGGCTTTCTAGACAGATTTTGTGTGGGTAACCTTAGAGAGAGTGTTCTCAGCAAGCAATCCCATAGCATTAATGCATGACAAGTAGCCATATTAATAAATGTTATTAAATGTACCGTTCCTTTAATACCTCATCCAAGACCAAATGAAAGACTATCTTACTGGGATCAATCTTGGACATCCAGGGGGGATTGCTCTCCAAATTTCATTCTGTACTGAGTGATGTCAGGAGAAACAGAGGCACACCACAGAGCAGCCTGCCCACAACCTGGGCAAACGAGCGCCCCGTGGGTTTCCGGGTTCACTGGGGTCTCCTGCATTTGCACAGACTCCAGTTCTCTTTCCTCACAACCCTCGTGGAAGAAGCTTTGCCTAAGAAACTAAAACTTCACCCGACGGACCATGCCAGGTTGTGGCATGCCAACGGCATTGCAAGCTTTGCCTGCTGAGGTAGTTTTCAAGGGGGGACTGACCTGGTTTAAATTAAAGCTGCAACTGCGTGAGCTGCTCAGCAGTAAAAACAATAAACTTGCTGAGAACTGCCTTGAACTGTGCAATTCAGTCATCTCCTAACGAGCTCCCCTCACACCTCTTCTCCCACTCCTACCAAGAAAGACAGAGAAGAACCCACTTCCAGCCGTGTTGCATAACACTCTCCTTTCCTGGGTGGGCAGTAAAGCGCTGACTCCCAACAATTTCCTCCTCCTGAAGCTCATTAGATGGTTTTGTTAATTAGCAGGCTCCCATTCCTATCATGCGCTGCACCTGAAATCCCGCTTGTATTTTTGAAGAGAGTAATTAAAGCCAGAGGTACTTGAAAAAAACAGGTACTGACAGAGACTAATATTCTATCAATATAATGAAGCAGCTTGCTAGACAGTAAAATGCCCAGATTTACTGGGCGTTCAGACGTTAACCCAGTCCAAGAGCGAAACATGCCTTGGCTGGAAAGCACATCTGAGGATGTGGGCACTCCCAGGTAAATCCTCAGTAACACTGCTGAAAGCAATCAGATTCTGGGGAGAATTTGGGTCATGAAATCTGTCAGGGGCCAGAACAAACAGAAAAGAAGTAAGGCTGCCGCCCTCAAAGCACAGAGTAATAGTAATAATCAACATTTCACACCTTCCCTGTAGAGACTGCAATAATTAGCTAGTAATTATTGGGCACTCTTTACATAGAGTGACTAGGGGGTTACCTGCTCCAAGGACTGAAAATGTAGCTTTGCCTCCTTCATGCAAAATCAAATGGAAAATACCACCACTGGCAGCCCAATCCCAATAAAGATAGTGCTTCATCATCAGCCACTTGTTGGTACCTATTAGAAACCACTCTGCAGTGCCACAATCCAGTGTACTATCCCTAGTTATCACTGCTGCCAGCAGAGCTGGTTCCCCTGTTATGCTCTTCAGAGCAGAATGGGGGGAATAAACAGCAAAAGACAGAAACAGGCAGAGAGCAAGAAAAAACCCCAGCCACTTACTTGATATTGTCAAGACATCCAGATTCAGGTTTCAGTATGGCAGTATGATGAAACATTTTATAGAGAGCAATCCCAAGGAAGATGACATTAAGCTGCAATGGAGAGGGGAGGAAAAAAAAAAGGATTATGTGACACAGCACAACATGATGGGGAGAAAGTTAGCTTCTTCTCTGTAACAGATGCGTTACTGTAGGAAATTAGCTCTCACTACAATTTTATAGCGACTGAATCACAGAAAATTTCCAAGCATTTTATAAGGTGAGCTGGCCTGTGGACTGCAGGACTGGTGATGCTACAGCCTTACCAAAGCTGTGGTACTGCGTATGTTACTGATATCAGGTTGGTTCTAACCTCAACTTTAGTGCTTCACTGATGTTATGGAAAATTAAAAATACTTGCTGCAATGGCTTTTTTGTGTCTGAGAGGTGTACAGGCATGAAAAGTCACTCCAAGCATCTTGCTTAGCCAATCCCATTGTAATGAAGCATAAAGGCATCCTTTTCTGTGAATACACCTTTTAGACATAGTGTAATGGGGCAGAGGGTTGGGGAAATCCCAGCTGCTGAAGATGCTTAGCACAGTGCAAAGTTGAAAAAAAAAAAAAAGAAAAGTAATTTGATTTGTTCTGTAAAAGATGTGATGATGTTTCAGTGCCTCGGTGTTAAAAAGGCTGCCAATTCCTAGAAAGGAGTTCCTTCAAAATCCCAGTCTGGAGTTTGAGACATAATCAAAAAGGGAAGATACCTTTTTATGAATTAATTGCTTAGGGGAAAAGAAAACCCAACAGTTGTAGCTGGTGGGGTGGCCCCCTTCTTGATATGGAAGGCTGCTGAAATGGCCCCCAGTTACAGGAGAAGCAGAGACAATGTCTGCATTGAAGCGGGAGTGCCTGGTTTTCCGTGCTAGCCAAACTGTAGTTAGTCAAAACAAAGGATGGTTTATTTAAGCCATATTGTAGCAATTAAGTATAAGAAAACTCCAGCTGTCTCTAAAGTTGGGTTCTCTACCTTGTTGCTGTGTTAGCTGATATGCTGGCAATGTGCTAAACATGAAGCTATACGAGCTTCAGCTTCTGCTGGGAAGGAAAAAACCCTCATCAAACTACTCGTCCAGTGTGGATTTTATTTCATGCCCACATCCCATATTTCCTCTTTTTTTTTTTTTTTTTTTTGCATTATCAATGCAAAGCTTTGATCTGGAATTCAAAAATTGGGTGAGCAGTAAGTGGCATCAAAATAGAATTTGGCACTTCAAAACGTCCAATGGTAGTAACCAAACTCTGCAAGTCCCTGCTCCAAAGCTCCCCAGCCCGTTTTGATCAAGTATTTTTGCAATGCCAAGAGCTTCTCATAATGAGGGTCTAATTGCTTGTGCCAGGCAGGGTCAAGGAAGAACATGCCTTTCTCAAATTAATCTGTGTAAATTAAAGATAAAGAGTAAAGGGACAGCAAAAGTTTTATTTCTTGACCTGAGAGATGGAGTAGTTAATTAGGAGTTCTTACCATAATTATCAAGGTCGCCGGTCCTATAAAGCTCCAAATGAAGTAGGTGTCAAGTCGGAGCCAACATCTGTAATGAAACACAGGGGAAAGAAGGCATTCAAGGACTGCACTCAGGACATACATCAAGACTGAGCAAGTGACAGAGAAGAATGTGAGCTGCAAAACACGCCGGTGGGAGACAGGAAATATTACATTGCTTGTTCATTTAAATGCTGAATTATGTGCCCAATTTCTGACAGCGCTATTGATGGAGTAAGATAATTACCTCTAGAGGAAGCAGGGAGAAAATGGCACAAGGCTTATTTGCTAAGGTTTTCGGCATCTGTCGGAAAAAATCCTTAAACTGAGGGGGTATTTTAAGGAAGGGGTCTGATGAACATCCATAGACCTGCTTCTTTGCATTATGCTCCTCAGTGCTCTCCAACTCTGATGCAATCCAAGCTGTCTGTCAGCTGTCAAGTGAGATGACGTTTCTCCAGCAATCATATCAGAGCAAATTTGGTGCAAATAGGAAGCCTGAATTGGATAACAGGAGGCTGAGGTTTAATTAGGTTCAGCAACTTCCCTTTTAAAGTGTTTTATTTCCCTGAACCTCCAGAGTGTTTTGTTTCCACTAATGTTTCCAGGGTTGCATATGGTCTGTGCTATCACAAGAAGTTGATTCATGGCCTAAAACTAAATTATTAATCGCTTAATTTCAACCGCATTTAATACTCCCCACATTTTTTAAGGCCCTTGGGAAATTACATTTCCATTCCTAGTTCATTCCAGGTGACAGGAAGATAAAATGGAAGTGACTGGTTACAAGACAGACGAATGTAAATTCCAAGAAAGTTTCACATGATGTTTAAAATAATAATATCTTGTCATGTTTGCAACGCTGCAAATCACAGCCCTGTTTATACACAAAGGACCTGAGAAAGCATAAAACCACTCTTATACCAAACATCCAATGGAATTTCATAATTAGGCAAGTGACAGGAACTTATTGCAGTGGAAGAGATAGCAGTTCTCACAAATGACAGCTCTAGTCTATGTGCTTCATGTTTTTTCCCTTCCAATGGACTTTGCAACAGGCACAAAGGTCTGTGCCAGCAGCCCTGCACGACATGATCAGCAGGAGATGCCTGCGGAGAGAATAATATAACATGCCCTGGCTCTCTACGACTGGGAAAAGCCAAGATATGAATAAATTCAAAAATGCAGAGAAAGCTTCACACTTCCCTCCCTGACCATATAAATTTCAAGTGTCATCAGTGTTGAAGATGTATCGATGTATATACAGTCATACCAATTTTGTTACAAATTAAAATACCGTCACTTCAGTGACTGTCATTCCTGAACTGCTTCTGCAGCTTCTCATCCAGAATCTTCATGTGATAGCATCAAAATCTTAATGCAAGAGGCAAACAGAGGCTTTCAGAGCGATTGCAGGGAAATCTTGTTTCCTCTGTGGCTGTTGAAGTTCAAGGTGATTTAGATGCAGCTGGTAATGGAACAACATGAGTGACTTGAAACTACTTGAGTCTGATTCCCTGTAGGAAAGGGTTTATGCGATCATGACATCTGTGTATCACCTATAATAACATCCTAACTGTCACCCAATTGCAACTAGATTTGACAAAGGAATAGAGGTTTCAAGGATAATGAAGTCCCTGTAAAAAGCCCTCCCCCCATCCCTGAATAAAGATGTCCGCACAGCAGCAGCTCACATATTACAGGGCATTTCAGACCCCATCCCCTGTAGGAAGAAAGTGTAACTAGTGTTTATGCCTCAGCTGCTCTATATAAATCAGGGAATATGCAGCCCCATCCCTTTTTTCTACTGATAATGAGTGCTGGTGCGTGGGAGAGGACTCAAAGGGTTGTGATTTTGGGGTTTTTCATTTGTTTTGGTTTTTTAATGAAAATATTTTGAACTTTTTTTTTTTTCCAGTTTAATATTCGAAACAATTCCCAGCCTCTGCTGCCCAGGAGTTGGGAACGCAATGTATTTTCGTTGCCATCAACGCTGTTTTCCTTCAGCATAAAGAGCGAGCTGGCTCTTCGAAAGCCCAAGGAAGAGGAAACACATAAACCCTCTCTTTACTTCTTAAAGCTTGATGGCTAGCCCTATTGTCACATCTGGTGCAGCTGGTTTTTAATGCATATAGATTGGGACACAGGGAAAATCAGTGAAAGCTGAAATACAGAATAAGTGAAAAGCCGTGCCAGGCTGAGGAAACAAGCGCAAAGCAACTGGTTTCTTTTCCAGACAGCTAAATGGATGAGATTTTCCACCCTGTTCCCCTAAAAAATCTGTCTCTTCAGTTGTGGAGAACAACGGAGTGACAAGAGATGGATACTGTGGATGGGAAAGAGGAAAGGAGCCAGGTCCTGCCCTCAGGATAGGCAGTGGCCAGACACAGAGCAAAAGAAGGCCCTTCCAATGAGAGATGGCTTCACCTAAGCCAGAGTACAGCTTGTGAAAAACAGAGAAAGCTTTTTTCCAGCTCTCTGCACACTTTAAAGAGTATGATGTAATTTTTTATTTGTTTGAACAGAAAAATCACCTTTCTATGTATGATACTTAGTCTTGGGTGACTAAATGGAAAGCTGAAGGACTGATCTGCAGAGGGACTTAAAAAGCTGGGGAGCTTGGTGGTCATCAGAAAGAGATGCAACTTTGAACCTGTTTTAGTCATACCTTATTAAAAATGCAAATTAAGACCAAAACATTGAAACACAAGGCATCCCGCCAATTGCGTTGCGGAGCCGTAAATTGCTAATCAGACAAGTACCACACTGAGCTTTTTTATTCCCTTAAAACACAAAAACCCACATGCACAATGAGCTGCATAAATGAGCTCCTCAAAACAAGGAAGCAATCAGGCAACTCACTTCCCAAAGTTGCTAATCTTGGGCTGCCGAGTTACTTCTGACCCTCCACATGCAGCTGCACTGTGAGCACAGACTTGCCACATTACGAGTTTAGACTTTGCTGCCATTAAGCAAACAAGCTGCTTCAGGGCTCAGAACAAGGCAGAGCGGATTATCAGAAAATGTGCAGATGAAGGGAACACTGTTCAAAACTCCATTGCTTCTTCCAAGACTCACACCAACGTATTCAGTCCTCGTAACGAGCTCCATGGTACTGCTTTCCTTTACTTTTTAATTTTCTCCTTTTCCACAGTGACAACTCGCAATATTCACCTAAAGCTTTTCCCAAGTAATAAAGACTACAAAGAGTTTACTCTATTTTCTGCATGAAGAGAAATCAAATACTAACCTATCCCTGGTGTGTATTAAATATAACCAATAAACAATCATTAGCTGCCATTGGACCATAAAATTTGAAGAGCCCTAAACATATCATGTTGTTCATGGGAGCTCAGCGGTTTGTTTCACGTGGCTATACAGCCTCCTTGTCAGGGTGCAGTAATGGGATAGGTATGCACCAGACATGCCTTTCAAGGGTGCAATATAGGTTCTGCTTAATGGAGTTCAGCATCCACATTGCTCATGCTTCTTCCTCCAAATACTGGCAACAACGCCGCAAATAAAACAAGTTCAGTGGAGCCACCCAAGACAGACCGCACTGTTAGAAGCTATTTTCTGAGCTACATTTACATGCACGAAATGTCGGCGGCTGGCTGATGGACTTGGAGGCTGTGTACATACACAGGGCTTTCATTTTGCTTTCTGACAGCTGGATTGCTTACCATGTATATCCTGCTTTATAGCATTCCGAATGGGGGGAGAAGGGGGAAGAAACAATAGAGATTCCTGCCATGATGAATTTGATCACCAGTGGATGAATATATCTACAAGTACGTTTTCTAAAATATATTGAACCATTCAAAGCGTAGCTGCTTTCCTCTGCAATTTGTAAGAGACTTTGATATTAAACTCAGGAAGGTATGGGAATATGGAATAGCTTCATGCTGTCGATTTTGGATGGCCTGCTTCTACAACGAGTCTTCTAAAGTCTTAATTGAGCATTTAATTCTAGACACAAGTTATTTTCAAACACTAACAAAAACTGCAAATGCTATTTTCCCTCTGCATTTTGCAGCATTGCCCACCACGATCCTTGACATAAATCCGGCCAGGAGATGGATGGATTTGGTTAACACACGGGACAAGGCACATGATGTGACTTTTTTAAATTGCAATACCAGTATTTTCTTTTTTTTGCAGCAAAACTTGAGCTGTGGCCATTTAAGACTCAGCAGCTGAAGACCTGGCCTGTAAGAAATGGTCAGTTGGAAGTTCACTCAAGCATTGCCAGAATCACTTTGGCAATGTGGGGGAACCCCACTGTCTGCAGTGGAGCTCCGCGCTTTTCATCTTTACTTTAGAAATTACAGTCAGAATAAGGTGAGATGCAACATTTCTGAAAGGACTAAACACAGCTCAGCTTCTTCACATGAACAGTCCCTTCTAGCCTGAATGGGATGATCTTTTAATGGAATCACTGTGCTGCTGCTTGGTTATAAAAAGAAACTAATCTTCTAATATAAGTGGTTTGAACTACTCTTAAATAAAAAAATAGTAAAAGGAAAAGGATTGATCTCAATTCTTGAAATAATTAAGTGTAAAAGAGTATCTTTACAGAGTAGCCACTCTAAAATGTCAATATGAATAGTAGGGCATGGGACACTTTAGAAAATCACAAGCACCAAGTGATAAGCAAAGCAAGAAGGAGAGAACAACTACCTGTTCCTGGTTATGTAATCTGGGCATGTGTTACAGGAGGGTTGGATTTAGAAAGGCAAATGAAATCAAAAAAACCTACACTGGGTGTCTAAGCAAATCATTCTGAGATGTATGAATGGTGGCACCAAATGCCAGGCAAAAAACAAATAACACTAACAGCTCCATAAGTCCTGCTTAAACAAATGCAGTAAATAATGGAGGGAGGCAAGTAATATATTCCAGAGGATGTTTTACAAAACCTGGCAAAACCAAGCAACTTCTTGCAATCAAATTATGTATGCCTGGCATATAGTTCACTGCAAATTCTAATCAGTTCTACCCTTCTAATAACATTACACTGAAAAATACATCATCATCCATCAACCAGATGGAGCATGATAGTTATACAAAACATATTGTGTGTTTTTTATTTTCCTCTAAGAAAATGTGATAAAAATGTGCATTGTGGAATTAAAAATTATAAATAAATATTTTAGGCTTTGCAAATATCTGTAAATACTTATTTGCAAAATATTATATATACATGTTTAATTATTAAAAATACTACTTTATGCTGTGGAGAGGGAGACATATTTTACTGGCACACACATAGGACTGCTGCCTCCTCAATGCCAAAACAGTGAAGTTTTGTTGTTTGCCTTCAGTGAATTTCAGCCAAACTTTCTGCCTGTACCTTCCATGCCATGGAAACATTTGGGCACCCAAGGCCTGTTGGGAAAAGGCAGGGTATCTCATGGAATATGTTTATTTTGCTTTGCTTCAGAAAGGTCCATATTAATTTAACAGGAACAGAAACATTTCAGCAACGCAAAGCTGCTGTGGTGCTTTGTGGGAGCCGTGGTTAAAGACTGTGTATTCTCAGGCTCTACAGCCAGCCTGTTGCATGCCACTAACTCCCACAAGCTACACTGCTACTCTAGTCATCCCTACAGAACATCATGAAGGACTCTGCAAAGATGAAGGTGGATGCAAGTCAACTGCTGTGTCACATCCAAAGCCATGCCCCGGGCTTGGGAATGTCCTTTCACTACAAGGGAACAAAGTAAGACATTTTCAGCACCCAACAGTTACAGAGCACTGTAAGGGAACGCAGTTGGTGTTAGCTTCAAACTAGCTGCAGTGCTGGGTTTTCTTGGCAGGCAGTTCAAAATGTTGAGAGAGAAGTTGAAAGGATCACACTGATGCTCCAAACCCTGTGATGGTAATGCTGAAGAAGTCACAGGGTGAGCAGTGTGGAAAGTAGCCACTCAATACCAGACTGCAATGTGGACCGGTGAGGACACAGCTCCAACAATGGCAAATGTGTGGGAATTGCCTTTCCAGACAGCTGGACTCATGGCCCTTTGGCTGTAACATGTTTGAGGCTCCACGTGCCAAATGTAGGTTTCTGTGAAGAGACAAGTCCTCTGTAGACACACTACAGTAAGAATAAATTTGTCCAAAGAGACAAGGCAAAATGTTTCCATACCTGATTCAATAGGTGCTTATATATCACTCAAGAGGGGATGTGAATAGAAGAGCTGGTTGGGGCAGAAAGCAGGTGGCAGCTCATGGAAGATCTTCTCCAAAAATGGTGATCAGCTGTTGTGTCACTTATTCTTTGCCTTCTAGGCCTGTCAAAGTCGGTCAAACTACTTTGGATAAATTGGTAGAGATCCTTGAAAACTTACACACTCCTACCTTTATCTGTGTGGGCCATTTCCTTTCCACCAAGCACGACATTTATACAAATTCAGGTTGCTATTCTCCTACTCATGGGAAGAACACAACACAAGTATCCATCTGGGATCCAAACCTATCTGCTGGCACGGTAATGGATCGTGAGCAGCTCCACTGCTCTACAAATCTGCTTTTGCAAGAAATACAGCTCATATATACTAATAAGATTTCTGGCAAAAAATTTGTAGTTGAACTTAACAGAATATCAACTGCTGCCATGGCCTGACACAACTTATGCTAAAAAAGAGCTTTATAAACACCACCAGCTCATTGCTATGTACACCTTCATACTGAGCCCTTAACTCAGTTAAAATGACATGGAAAGACAGCCTGACAAGGGAAGCAAAAAAAAAAAAAAAGTCAATAAAAACACTACTGTAGCAAAGATGGCAAAGAGAATCAAAGGCTCATTTTTCCCTTTGTTTTCCATTAGACAGTGGTGCACAATAATCTAAATTGTGCTTTGATACCAGCTTCAGCAATGTTGAAAACTCTTTTAAGAATATTTATAATGATGAACGATATAGCTGTTCCAATTTGCAAAGAGTCTAATGCACTCCACAATCATCACCTATTTTGCCTGCAGGCTCTATTAATTTGATAGAACACTTAAAAAAAAAAGGAAGAAAGCGGTATTTATTCATCCAAATAAGAAATACTCTTTGATTAGAGAAGGATGACCTTGCTGAGACTTGGGACAGTCACCTCTGCTGATGTCATGCAATCATGTGATAAAATTTTCCTCAACTGACTTCCCTGGAAAATACCTTTGCAAATAATTTCGTAGTGGGGAATTTGTCCTGTATCATCACACTCTGCACTGGAGACAAAGAAATGAGGCAAGGAATGCCTCCTGGCTGAGCTCTGCCTGCACAAGCCCTGTGGGCTCCTCACATCCCTTCATCGTCCCCACTCCCATCTCTCCTGCCCAGGTCCAAGCAACACCAAGCTCACTCACACTTTGTCCGTGCCATAGCTCCGGTAGTCCACCGCTGCTGACACGGCCACAATCAGTGCAGGCATGCCATAGCCCACCAAATAGAAGTACTTCCTCCGGGAGTGTTCGCTCTCAAAAACCTCCACCAGCATGATGTAGAGCTGCACTCCCTCCAGGAACATCCAGGTGAAAGCTGCCAGGAAGAAGAAGTGCAGGAGGGCAGCAAAGACGGCACAGGCAATCTGCATGAGGATTGAAAAGAGCAAGGGAAGGTGTTTGTACCATGGTGAATTAATGCAACAGTCTGGACTACTCTTACTGGGAGGTTTAATAAAAATGAGGGAGTTCTTATCTTCCCTCCCCCAAGGAAGAACTTTTTTTCACTTGGAAGATGTGTGTGAATTATTTTAAAATAGACACATCTTCGCATACATAAATCACATTAAAAGATACAATGGTAGGTATGTACACAGTCTGATAAATAGAGATGCACAAAGTATAAGTGTATTTTTACAACCTGCTTATTAAACAGACACACACATCATTTACAAGCAACACACATACAGCCTCTGAAATCACAGCAGGCATCAGCATGTGACTCACAGTTAACAGCCAGGGTCCCAACCCTGTGAAGACTCATGGATGGAATTCAGACAGCGCTAGAATGTATCTCACTGCACAGTCAAACACTGCACACGCACTGAGAGAAGTGCCTGTGACAGAAGCAGAAAACTCTTTGTCTCTTACCGGCTGGTCAGTCCGGTTGATGCCGATGAGGAAGAGGAGTTCTGCCACGAAGAGGCTGATGCACAAATTCTTGTGAATCGTGTTGCGATCGCTCTGCAGCCCACGGAAGAAGCAGAAGGTGAAGATGCAGATCAGGAGGCAGACCAGTGAGAGCAGGATGCCAACCCATGTGATGAAGTCCAGGAGTAGGTCATGGACTGCATCGCTGTGCTGAAGATAAAACCAAAATATCTCATTGCTGCATGATGCATGACTTTTAATTCATCCCAGACACACAGTGAGGTTGCCTGAGACCCTTCCCCAAATGTTTGTACCAACTCACCAAGCTGTGGCACAAAGTACCACTACCAAAAAGATTAAACGGACTTGAATCCCACAGCAAGAAAGCTGCAACCTGAAACACTGGCTCCAAAAAATCTTGCAAGCTGCAAGTGCCCAAAATAGGCTCAGATCCAAACACATCCCAGAAACAATGATGCTGTTGTTGATAATACTGAGATGCCATAGCTAGTCTTGTGTGCAGCTCTATCTTACGCAAATGTGGTAAAGGAGCATCTGGACACACAGCAAAGAACCATCAAATGCCATGAGTCAAGTGTAAAAAAGTGTGTCATGCTGACAACATCGTGTCCAACAACCCCAAGTCCATTACAACCATTTACCAACAGTGAAAAAAGAATCTCTTTAAATGTTCACAGAGATGTATGAGCTTGAAGGCTTGGAGGCTTTGGACAGAAAGAGATTGCATAAATTAATTTTTTTTTCCACAGAGGAAGGAGAAAAGAAGTTTGATTTTTCTTTTTCAACCCTAGAGTTATATTTTAAAAATCCTAGGAAGTCAGATTGATCCCTAAAATGTTACCTAGAAAAAAAAGGACAGATCTTTTAACATGAATTTGCTTTTAAACTGTGACAGAACAGTGATTTTAAGACAGCCTGGAAAGCTAGTGATTCCCTGTGATGAACTCATAACATGGTTTTACTCCAAAGCCATGCAAACAAGGCCATTTGCAGTGGCAAACTAAGGCAGCAAAGTTTTGTGAGGGGCAACATAGGTGTGCCTTGGCTCTGCTGATAAAACAGTGCTGCATTGCTCCTGAGCTTATAACTATGTATCCCTCACAGAAAGAGGAGGGGAATGATGAGACCCTCTCGGTAAGAGTATCCTAGCACCTTATTCCTTATTCAGGCTGTAAAACTCACCCATAACTCCCCAAGTTTCCATGAGATGCAGTGAAATTAGAGGGTAAAATGTAAATAAGAAGTGAGAAATACACGGTGAGTCAGGAGATGGCTGCTTAGGGCTTAGTGGTTAGAGTCCATCAGCTGAGGAAAAGAATGGCTGGAAATCTCTGGGGGCTTTCCAGGGAAGACCAAAGGGGCTTGAAACCCAGCTTTGTGGTCCACCAGATTGTGTTATAAATGGTAATCAAATTCCCCACCACTTCTGGCATTTCAATGACTTAGGCTGGCAAATACAATAGTGCCACACTTCAAAAAGCCAGGGCAAACTGGAAACATTTTTCTCTCCATGGGATAAAAGCTTATGACAGATGGAGAGAAAAGGTGATTAATTTATCCATTTTCTTTGCCTGCCTGCCAATGATAAAGCCACATCAAATGTCAGGCCTTTCCCAACATACGCTCTGCTATGTTAGCACCCACAAGAAACAACTCAAACCTTTCAGCTCTTTGGCTTTATCAGCATGAGTGACAGGCATCAAATGATAATGAAAGATGGGGAGTGACTCTCTGTTCCACCTCTTCCATGCTGGAAGCTTTCTCTTCAGAGAGACTTGGACATAGAAAGACAGAGAGTTTCCTTGCCCAAACACTCTTGAAGCTCCTCCTGAGTATTTCCAGTATCTAAGGAACTAGAGGTCACAAGTCCAACAAGGAGACAAGAAATCACTGTGTGCTTTCTGTAGATCATGACAGAAATGTCTATTCCAGCCAGCTCATCCAGCAGCGCCCAGAACACTGACAAGATGAAGCACATCATTTTCCTGGCTGCTGCGCATTGCTTTATCTCAGTGTCATTCCAGCTCATCCATCCCTCTTAACTCTGCGAAAAAATGTTAATGCAAACCTTGCACCTTGCAAATCATTCTTTCTTTTGTCTGAGGCTGCTGGAGAATGGCAGGAGAACATCTCCCTGAAAAAGCCTTCATCTGATTAGATTGCCCTGCCAGGCTGAATGGACCAAGAGTTCTTGGGCTGGGTGAGCAGGACAAAGCAGCTAAGGGAGGTGGTTACAAGGAAAAAGCAACCACACAGACTTTGGCCAGATGCACCCACCCCACCCAGATGCAGCCAACAGCACAGATTCATCTATCCCAAGGCAAATTTAGCTTGGTGCAGGGAAAATTCTCTGAGGGCTTCTTACCCTAGATGGGGAGATGAATCTCAAAGGTCTCAGTTTTTGCACTGCTTATCACAAAACCACAACTCTGCTGACTTAAGACATGATGCAGGAATTACAGGTGTTTTTTGCTCCTGGAGTGGGATCCTACCATCTGGGTTCATGGTCTTCCTCAGGGAAGGGCTGCTTGCCCAAGAAGCTTACCATGCTTAACAATAAACATGCTTCATTGTTGTATTATTATTATTATTATCACACTACTCCTCTTTTTAATATTAATCGTAAAGATAATACTGACTTTATGTATATAACACTCATCCCTGGAGTGCTGGGAAACAACCATAAAACCAGCTTCTCCATAATTACAAACTCCCTCCCCAAACTCAACAAATTCACAAAAGAACAAACAAAAAGGAATAATAACAATAAACTGGGAACAAGAGCAATTTAAAAACACCTCAGGGGAAAAAATATGAATTCATAGCTTTTCTAGTAAAGTCCAAGAGAGGAAGTGAGTTGAATTTTAAAGGCTGGACACACTCCATCCTGTTTGGGACGCCCAATTTCAGGTGCTACTGCAGAGCCAATGGGTCAGGGAAGACTGGCATCCTCCCCAGGGCAGCACCAACTACCCTCAGGGCAGGTATATCCAGAGTTTTTACACCAGCAAGTACAACAAAATGAAGTTTGCCTTTTGCTGGAGATTGAAACTTGTAAATTACTGCAGTGTCACAGGTCACAAAGCAGAACAATATGGGAAAAGGAGGAATAGTGGTAATCACTCCCAATGCCATGAGCTTATCCTTGCCATCACCCAATCACTGTGTGACAAATAAGGGAGCAATGTACCTGGCTTACACAGCTGGTATATGCAGTTCTGAGGTTAAATATGATACACAGCACACCAAGATTTTGTATTTGGGTCTTAGTCTCCAAGCCTGGCCCCTTAGCCACAGAAAAATGCAAAAGGAGCAAATCTTCTCTTTACCCTGCCCAGCACTGTTAAAACACTCCTTGACTAAGGATAAAATAGCTTTGATTTGCATGCTGATCACTGAATCACAGATTGGATAAGGTTGGAAGGGACCACCAGTGGGGTCATTTGGTCCAAGCTCCCTGCTCAGGTCCAACTAGATTCTGTGCTGCTGATCATGACCCTAAGGGATTTTTTATTCCCTAAAGATCCCTAATGATATCCTTCCGGAACAACGCAAGCCCTAGGGTCTCTAAAGCATGCAAAATACTTCTGAAACCACCAGTGTATTGGTAATAGTCAACTCTTGCTTCTCAATGATCTCCCAAATACCTGGGCAACCAGAAGAGCTCATGAGAGATACCAGATGTCAGTCCAAGAGAGAATTTCCTTACAGCATCAATCAAACAGCTCCTTGCCCAAATGTATCATGGCTGACAAGACTGGTGCTACATGGCAGAGCATGCAAGACACTGAGTTTTGTTACCACTAAGCTACATAAGCTTTACAGGTAAACTGACAGGCAGATTACTTTCAGCACAGGAACAACTTATTGAATAACTGAAAGAGATAAAATAATCTACTTCAGTTAAAGGGCTTCTATATTAAGTATGTTTTACATTTATGATTTAGATATGAGCCTGACCCAAATCCCAGTGAAAGGAAATGTCTCTGCTTTGGAATAAAGCTCTGTTTTTGCTCCAGTGGGGCCAAGAGCAGTAGGAGGAGAGTGTTGATGGAGACTTGTGCAGGAGGAGTTACAGGAGAACTGGTAGCAACCACAGCACGGTGAGCAGGCAGCCCAGATATTGTCCAGGCTGGGAAAATCAATGAGGAGCTCTGGCAGTGCCTGTACACCAGAGCTGAGCTAATAAAAACAAATCCCAGGGAATGTCAGCTTATGACAGAATAGCTCTCCCTGAGATGAACAGCCATTTCCTCCCTTATTAAAAACATCAGCAGAAGAAAACAGCAGCCAAACTGAGCTGCCAGCAGCAAAGGACACATTCCTTTGCCTAATCTGTCCCTCCAGGAATGGAAGAAGTAATATCTTTGGGGGTAGAGGAATAAGCAAGCAGTAAATAAAAACACAATGTCATAAACTAGCTCAGATATGACCGCTCGGCGCCTGGTGGGAGCTGGCAGTGTACTGGGCTGGGCAGACACCCAAGTGGGACAGGTTTGAACTTCTGTGCATTGCTGATACTGCTTCCTGGATTTGTAGCTATTTGGGGCCGTGCAGGGTCCCTCTGCCCTTTTTCCCCCATCACTGGTGGTGAGAGAGGATTACTGCTATGACCTGGCTGTAATGCTTTGTGGCTAAGTGCAAAAGGCTACTTAAGAAGCAGATACATTTGTAAATGTGCCAAAAGCATCAGCTGGGGTACACAGACTGGGAGGAAACCCCAAAGGACTCCTGCAGTGTGTCTGGGATGGCTACAGGCATCACCTGCCACAGCTATGCAGGTATGAGAGGTTTTGGGGGAGCTTTTCCCTCTCTGTGGCCAAGACGAGTATGTGCTGGAGGCATCCCTTTGCTTTAGCACCCCTCCTCTCCATCTTCCCCAAGGATGTACAGAGGGAGGTAGGCAGCTCTGCTCCACAGCAAACACAGCACCTATGGGCCTGGTACATATCCTCTCTTTACTCTGCAAAGGTGATGCTGTCAGGGCACCATCAGGTTGTAACCCAGGAATAAAGAGAGCATAATTCTCACCTGAAGCCCCTGTGCAACATCACTGTCTTCAGACTATGGCTGTTCATAATAAGGCTCAGATCCTCAAGACTCCTGCAAGGTGCTTTAGTTGCCTTTCCTCTTCTTGCCTTAGTCCACAAAGCTACCTTCATATTCTGCGTGGGCAACACAGATCATTT